TGTCCTTGCTGGTGGCTATTTATACCTGCCCAGGTGGGTGTCACCTGCCAGGCAGTCCAGCTTCCCATGGGGTTTGCCAGCCATAGTGCTCATGCCAAAAATGATGTGCTAAGAGGAATTTTGTCTGAGGTAAGTAAAAGACATTACCATTCAGCGCAAATATGTCTTAGTTGATTCACATCTAGCTGCACTATAATTTATTGTGGGTGGCTCCTTGTTGGATACTTTGTTGAACAATGTCGTATGTCTCAGTTTCTGTTAATCTGGCAATATCGCGCTGGTAACGGCAGCTATTGAAGCTTCTGCTTCATTGTCTGTGTCCATTACTTTTTATGCTTTGAAGCTCAGTAGCTCAGCTTTAGTCTTCCACCTGAGATCACAGACATGATTCATAACACCAGCAGCCTCCAAGGGGCTCTTCATTCATTGATTTATTTCAAATTTCATCAGCTTTATAGGAATCTAATGCACCAAAATTAACATTTTGAAGACTGCATTCCCATGTCTGTTACAGAAGAAGACTTGACTCCAAATTTTTCACTCTGTGTTGAATAAGGTCCTGCTGACATTCAGCTTTCACTGAACATACAGCACATGGATCACAGTCTTTTTTCTTTTTGAAGAAAACTCTGTGTAACAGCCATGAAAGTTACATTGAGCAAGGGAAAAGATATTAAATCTTTTCCTATCAAAGAGCTCCTAATTTTATTGTAATGGTTTTAAATGGACTCAGAGGAAATTGAGCGGAGAAATATTTTACTTTGCATATTTTCATCACTGCATCTTAAATAGTAAATTCTCAGAATACATCCTTGAATTATATAATACAATGAAAAAATAAGTTTGATTAAAACAGCCAAAGATTAGATCTGAAAAAATATCATCATTACCTGAGCTCATTACAGTGAAGGGTGTTTTGCAACCACGACAGAATACCTTGCGCCACCCAACAGAGAGTCAGAAATCCTTGTGTACTTTTTTCCACTGCCCATGCAATAGGGAATGGCAGTGAGCTGCTTTTTCCATCTTTACTAATCAGACTCCTGTGAAACTGAAAAAAGCCTTGAAGAGGAACAAATTTTCAGATTTCCAGCTGTGCATTAAATATCAGCATTGCAGTTCTACAGAAGAGTCACTGGGCTGTGCAGAGGAAGCACAAGGAGCTGGTGGGACCTGCTGTGAGTTGCCACATCAAAATCAGCTTATCCACAGAGAGGGAGGATGGATTCAGCCCAGAGGTGTTTCAGGAAGAGGTTCCATATTACAGAAGAAGAAACAAGCCCATTCCTCTCTCTGGCTGCAGCTGTGCAGGTTTGTTCACCCTTGGTAGCTCTGTTACCCCGAGCTGCTGCCACCATCGCTGAGGGGCAGCAGGGCCATCCTGGGCTGGCACTGGGGCTGTCCTGGGCTGGCACTGCCTCCACTGAGCACGGGGGGAGCTTCTGGCAGCTTCTCACCGGATTTCTTCTCAGAAATCCCCCTGTATCCCCTGCTACCCAGAACTTGCCACACAAACCCAAAGCTGTGCCTTATGGATGTAAAATGATCTTGGAAATCTTTCCCTCCACCTGGGTCTCTCAGTAGCTGCTGTCTGCATTCTGTTTTAACCCCTTCTGGGCTTCACTGTATGGTGTGTAGCACTTGGTGCTTGTGGGGCAGCAAAGTAATGAGGAGTTAGGGAAATAAATACTCTTCCAAGGTTAGTTTAAAGCATGGACTGCCATAGTGGAGGTCCCTGTCCCTCTCCCTGCACCTGTAGGAGGTGACAATGCAATTCCCTCTCTCAGAGGGCTCTGGAATACACACAATTCTTAATCCTCAGCCCATCTACCATGAACACCATGGCTCTTTATGGCTGGTGTGTGTAGTCCAAGTTTCTAAACCAAAGAAAGAGAAATGAGCATTACTAGAATCTCATTGTTCCTGTTGCATGTCCTTGGCAGCATTTATGCAGCACAAACTCTGTTTAACAAGCCTGCAAAGGCTCGTTCCTGCCAGCACAATGCCAGCACACTTTGGCTTGGTGTAAGTCAGGAGTTTCTGTTTCCCTGAATGCTTTCCAAGTGCTGAGATGGCAGTGTGACGTGTATTTCTGGAAATCAATTCTGTATCTGTTCTCTCAATCCATACTTATGTGCATCTGTTGTGTTACTCAGCAGTGCTGCTCCCCTTGTGTGGAACTCACATTTTGTTTCACTCTCAACTCAACCCCAGAGGCCTCTCCCTTGTGTGCAGCCCTGCACCTGCAGCTCTGCCTGCAAGGCTGTGTGCAGGTGAGATGCACCCTCCCCTTGCGCAGCCTCACTGGAATTTTGGCCCCTCAGCTGCTTGGATACACTGGTAGCTATTACAGAAGTGAACATTCCAGGCTCTTTTACATGTACTAAATTTCTCAGAGGTTAAAGGTAATTGCTGTCAATATCAACATTTTGTGGAAATGAACTTTGTAAAGTTCCTGTGAATTATATTTCTCTTTCACTTATCATTTCAAAACAAGATCCCTTATCTGTCCATTTCCAGGTTAAACCAAGGAGTACCCATCAAGGTTTTGTGAATTGAAACATTGGTTTCATTTTATAACCACAGCTCTGTAATCATTAGTGTTCCTTTGTGGACACTCATGTGCTCACCATTAGAGTCATTGAGCACTGAGGTTCTGCAGCCTTTTAAGGTTGATATTCATCTGTTGGGTCTCAGAACTCAGCTCCCAAGAATATCTGACACATTATTAAAAAAAAAGGCACAGCCCAAGAAGATTCTGATCTGCCCCTACTGCTCAGAATTTGTGTTTTAACTCTAAATTTTGTTATCAACTACTGGAGTGTATCATCAGCCTCTCTACCTGGAGGTGTGTCTTGGCATGACTTTGTGTTTTCTAAGTGTTTACACCTACAGAAGGAAAGAAAAACCTCATACAGCATTCTGGTTGCATCAGACAGAAATTAAATTTTATTAGAGACATTTTCCTGATTCAGAGCAACCTGAGTACCAAACAGGTTGGATCTGTAAAGCAGCAGTTTGAGCGCCAATAACCAAAGCTGCAGAGCTTTGTGGGCAGAAGCAGCACAGAGCATGCAGGGCAGGGGGAGAGGTGGCATCTGC